GCTCTTTAAAAAGGTGAACAGAGACTTACAGAAGGTGGTGGGGACTCCCGGCCAATCAAAGGAGTATTCTCACAACGAGGATTCTGGAAATTTGCATTCTGGCTCCTGGAGAGGAAGGAAAGGGGAGAGGGGAAAAAGATCAAGAGGGAAAGGTTTCCATTCCTCCTTTGGATAACGGCGATATTCGAAGAGCTATGAAAACAATAACTGATCTGGGGATTTCTTTTACTAAAAGGAACATGTGAAGACATCCTTTCCAGGCAACTGCTAGTCAAATGTGGGGCATGTTCAGGACAGTGGGTGAAGTATCTCCAAAGATCCCTAGGTAAAGAGGAGAGATGTAGTGCCCCCTTTAAGAGCTTTCTAAGGGCTCTATTATTGTTCGCCAGTCCAAAATTCCAGCCACGGTAAAGCCCTGTATATTATTCTAGCTTTAAGCTTAGCAAGGAATCCTCTCCAGCGCTGTATGCTTACAACTTCTGCTGGGCATTTGATTCCTTTCATTACAAAGACAAAGATGGGAATCCTTTAAATATACAGGAGTAAAGTCTTTCCTAAGCATCTGTCTCACATAGTTTATTTGCTAGTGGCAAGTGCTTCCAGTCTCCAAGTATCAAAGAGTCTTTTTCCATTAAGCTCTACAAATATCCATTTACGCTCTATCAGTACACTTCAGAACGAATTAAACAGGCAGGATAAGAGCGGTAGGATAGACAAGCAGAGCACCCTTTTGTTTTCTTTTGAGGCTTTCCTTTAGGAACTGCTACACGATAGGTGAAGCACCGAGTGGCCTGAATCCATTCCGATACCGAATGCTGGAGACTACTCAAGGGCCCCGTGCATTTTCTCCACCAACAACACAGACAAAGCCACTGATCTTTTTTTCCCCTCCAAAATCAGAAGATCTTCCCTCTAGGTCAGCAGTGCCTGATCTAAGGACAGGGCCTTCCCAACATCTCAGGGGGAACCCTATCCCATCCTGGCTGCCCAAGGTCCTCGTAAGTGGAAGGGTCAGGGACTGAATCAAGCGGCCACCCCCGCTCTGTCACGGAGTGCCCTCTACTCACATGTATTCCGTGACGGGAGCATTGCTGACCGTGTGCGCTGCGGCTGGAATGCTGGTCTCGCTGCCATAGCTGCTCCCGCAGCTATAAAGGCTTGGCATGTGTACCCTGTACAGGTTGTCGTGGGTCTGCCTGTTCCCTTGAGCGGTGGACTCATCCTCTCCCTCATCATCTGAGCTCCTGGAGAAGGGAGGCAAACCAGAAGCATCTCTTTAGTGTTTTTACTCCAAAGTAAAGCAAACCAAGCGTGTGGAGTTCCTCATCCACTTCTCCCCACAGACCTAAGTGCGCATGGGCGCTCCCAAGTAGTCACAAAGAGCTGTTCAGTCTGGCAGACAGACCGATTCCCACAGCAACCAACTCCTCCCAGGGAACAAAATGACTCAGACCTCCCACAACTGCCATCTGGGCTTGCAAAGCCTGTCACATTTCCCCCAGTTGTTCTTCCCACAGAGCCTGCCAGCTCACAGAGAACCAGTATAGCGTGGAAACAAGCACAGCCTATTACTAGAGCCGCTAAATATATAAAAAAACTGATTTAAGATCCAAGAATAAGAGAGTTGGGGACTGGGGGGGGAGAGGGACGGACAAAGCCATGTTTTACAGATGGGGGACTGGCATTATTAGCCTCTTAGAGCAGTTTCACACAAGGAGAGGCAGAGTTTGCACTCGGGGAGAAACTACCTAGGGAAGGCTGGTTTGAAACGAGGAGATTTACCCAACAGGGACCAGAGAGAAAACAGCAGCTGGCAAGGAGAAGGCAGAACAAAAGGGGCGGCTTACAGCACCCCTTGAGCCATCTGCTAAGAGGCCCTTAGGTAAACCACACCTGAGCCATGCATGGCTCCCTCCCTCTCATTTTCAGCCCTGCTAGGTGGGGCTCCACTCCTCACAGGCAGGACTTCACCCACCCACCCACCCACGCATGGGGATCCCTCGCAACTGGAGCTAAAGGAGCTCTGGGTGCACAGAGGAGGAGGAGGAACACTGTGCGGAGGGGGGCGCGCAGCCCTGTGCGCGTGTGCAGCCGTGCACCTCACAGGGAACCTGGCCCCTGAGTTACTACAGAATATGTCACTGTCAATTTCCCCAGAAATGTTCTACAAATACATGAGCAAATTTAACCAACATCCCAAAGGCGTACGCTAATTTTACAACCAGTTTTTATTCTGATTTTCTACGAACTAAGACTTAAAAAAGGGACTGCTAGAAAGAGACAAATGACAGCCGTGCACCTCACAGGGAACCTGGCCCCTGAGTTACTACAGAATATGTCACTGTCAATTTCCCCAGAAATGTTCTACAAATACATGAGCAAATTTAACCAACATCCCAAAGGCGTACGCTAATTTTACAACCAGTTTTTATTCTGATTTTCTACGAACTAAGACTTAAAAAAGGGACTGCTAGAAAGAGACAAATGACGGCAAGCCACAACAACAAAACAACCCTTTCAAATTTTGCTTATGGTTTTTAAGCTTACTGTTTAAGAGTCAGAAATCCTGGCCGATCAACAGATTACATGTAGAGAGTAGGGTATTCGTATTTGTCAAAGAACGCGAATGTCCCAGTTCCAGCTAGACCTAATGAGGGTCCGGACCCGGGGATCAGACCGCCCACTCACGTGTCCCGGCACCGCAAAGGTCCCGCTCTTCCCACCCATGGTGCCAGGAGCTTTGCTGTCTTCCCCCTCTGCTGGCCGCTCGGCACCCCGTGCGGGGAGACTCGTCCTCCCGCTTCCAGCCTGGAGCAGCGCCAGCTGAATATCCCCATCTCTAATTACATGAAATGCACGAGAACCTTCTTGGAAATCCAAGAGCTTTGGTCTTTTATACAATAAATACATACAATACTATGTACGTATTGTATACGGGAATAATCACTTACTGTCATGGGCATAAATGAGATCTGCTTTCTAGACAACAGGAAATCAAGCATTTTGCACTGAGTGCCACAAGATGGCAGTGAACTTTTGCAGTCCAAGAGGAATTATGGGCCAGCCATACAACATTTTACCAAAAAAAAGAGCCTGATCCACTTCTCAGCTGACGTGTTATGATTCTCCTTTTTAAAAAATCTATCTTTTTAAGACAGGAGTGACCATCCTAGTCGTTCCACAGACTCGCTACACCACGGGACAGGAAATATTTGCATTTCTCAGTTGTAGTTAAAAATACAAATATTTACCATCTCTACCACACTGTGCCAGCTAGTTCTTCCCAAACTATCCAAACATTTCTCTTTTGACATGCATTTTGTCCACCACTGAAATTTTTAAATTTCAAGCAGTATCTACTGGACAACAAAGACCAGTGGCCAACCAGGTTTGTAAACAATGACCAGACAAGTGGGTTTTAGACATGCCTACGATCTAATCTACTGCTATGTATAAAATCAAGATTTCATTCTCCTTCACTCCCTATTTCCCCTGAGTCTTCTCTTGCAGCACACTGCTTGGGGAGACGACTCAAGGAAGACGGTGCTGTTGCGCCTTCTTTCTCAGGCTTTGAGATACTGAAGTTGAAACACCAACATGACTTCTAGTGCACAAACCTCTTCTGTTGCCAAGTGTGTGGGACACTGCACACTATGGAACTGAACATGAGGGCTGTCACAAAGGAGAAGAGGACCAGGTAGATAAGCCCTTCCACACTGTCATAGCAGAAGCCTGTCAGAGCTTGGATGTAATCCTAAAAAGGAGAGTAAATAGATTATTTTAAGCTCAAAATGGATCGCAACACCATGTTTACATCATCTGGCTTCTCATCTACATAATCCTGAATTTTAAACTTGCATTAATATTGAATTTTATTTTGCAAGGCTATTTAGGGCGCTTTGAACTGCTTACAAATGGCTCACCTTCCAGAAAGGGAAGTCTATGAAGATAAACAAACAAGGATATATCGAGAGTTACTGCCGTGTAGCAACCAAAAGCTAAGCCACTGGTTCTTAACCTTTGTTACTCAGATGTTTTTGGACTGCAGCTCCCAGAAGCCTTCACCATCAGCTCTGCTGGCTGAGGTTTCTGGGAGTTGCAGTTCAAAAACACCTGAGTAACAAAGGTTAAGAACCACTGAGCTAAGCTATGGCTCAGTTGTAGACTCACAAAGTGGGTTTTAGCAAGCTGCTGTCAGCACCACCCACCTGCAGTCTGAGGGCAATGAAAAGCCTTACACGGTTACTGTACGGATTAAAGAGATAATATGTGCATGATGCCCTGACTCCTGTTAACTATGATTACGCTACATCCCGTGGGTGAGGAGAGAAGGTGAGGAGATGTTTTGTGATTTTTTCTGGCTATTGCTTTCTGGCTATTGCTTTCTGGCTATTGCCGGGTAGGTGGGGCTCGTCAGCCATGGAAGGCAGCCCATCTAGGAGAAGGAAAACTCCAACTTCAAACCTCCACTGCCTTGTGGCTATATCCACTCATGGAAAAGGCTTCAGGAGTTAACCTCGAGGCAAAATCCGGAGCTGGAGTCCCGAAGGCAGCATCGTTCTGCCAACTCCTGCGACATTGCTGGAACCAGTTGTATTGGCTCTTGCCTTTCCATTGGACCATTTCAGCAATGTGGAGAGGGGGGATCTGCTGCTTGGGTAAGAGCCTATCCTCCATATTACCTTACCCGGGCTTCATGCTCTGGAGAGGACACTCCTCGATTCAGAGCATGTTACCATAGTCTCTCGAATGTTTTGTGATTTTTTTTCTGGCTATTGCTTTTGAAAAAACACAGCATGTCCCTGAATAGTTTCCAAAGTCAGACTGGTGCATTCAGGGAGGCCAGTATGTTCAGGGGGTGCAGCGGTCCTCTGTTGGCAAGCTATGATTTCCTACCCAGCCACCTGATTAGCACGACCCAGACAGCTAAGGCTGTCAGTCATAGTTGACAATACTGGGGTAAATGGACCGAAAGTCTCTGATACAATATAAGACAATTTTCCATGTTTCAAGGAGAGCACGGGCGTTTGGCTTTTTCTTTCCATGGGTTGAACTTGGCTCTTTTCACAGGTGCCATGCGATTGGGTGAAATCCTCCATGCAATATCGCAAAGCTCAAAATCATTTCATCTGTCTAAAGAGGCCCCGTGTGGTTTTTCCAAAAGCAGAAGCAACAATAGTTTGCAAACGATTTCTCTGTGGTAATTCACCTTGTGACCTTTTTATCTCAGTTGGGCCGCTACAGGCGGCCCATCGGTTCATGCATTCGCTGTCCATTGGGACTCACCAAATGCAAACTTCGACAGTCGACCAAGGCAGTCAGATGTTGCAAGTTGATTTCTGTGGAGTTCAAAACCGCCTGGACTCGATTAAGATATTCCTACAAGGAAAAGCATGGGGGTCAGTGTTGAATGCGGACACTGATTTTGCTATGGGTAGAATATGGAAGAAAGATACAGCAACGTCCTCAAAAATGCTCCCAAGAATTCATCAAGGTTTACCTTAGAAGCGGGGTATTCCTTGATGGCTGACTTCATGAGCTCCAGCACATCATCCTGCATCTCGACGAGGGCTTTGTGACTTCCTGACAGCTTCTGCTCAACACAAACGTCATGCCTCAGCCTTCATGATCAAGGCAAGAAATTGCAGCGCAACAAGTTTTCGCCACTGCCCCATATTGCTAAAGCATCATTTTACATTATTGCACATCACGATTGCCTTTAAGGTGCTACAAGATCACCACAGTTGGGCTTTGTTGCAACACGCTACAGGTTAACCTAGCTCACTCCTGCCCCCCCCCGCTCGAAATTTCTGTAACAGTAAACAAGTACTTGTATGCCCTTTTTTGCTGGCAATCAAACTCTTACGTTATGGAAAACAGCTTCTTTCCAGGTTTCGCACATTTTATATATGTTAAGAGAAGCCAATGGAAGAATTCTGAGTTAGTTATAATTCATGTGTTTAGGATGAAAAGAAATGTGTGTGGTAAACTGCAAGAGACACAGAAAGTCTTAAAAGAGGAAAACTTTCTCGTTACGTTGAAATGGCCTATTTATGGTTTGCAAAATTCAAACCTAAAGGCTCAGTACCACCACTGCCTACAGAAACACTACTGAATTCCAAAATAAAGATCCTACGCCATGAGCTTAAGCTGCCTAGACCACTTATCAAATGTCAGTTACAACATTAATAAAACCTAGTCTTACATTTAAGTAAGGGTGTGCCTTAGTTCCAAAAGTCATGTAAGGGAGATTTTATAGTTCTATGGTGGAAGCTTTTTTTCCCTTTTATATATTTTTTGCAACCGTCTACCCGGCTGTTACTCATCGAGTTAATCACAGAGCCTGACTTCTTCTTCAAAGCGTACAAGAAATGCAGCCGGGGACCCCATCTGAGCTCCTGTTTGTTTAATGGAATTTGCAGCCAAGGAGATCCCGAGGGATCGGGCTCATTCGTTAGAGCAGCAGGATTCTCTCCCCCTGCCCCCAAAATACAGGAAGCTAATGGGATTGGTCCTGATTTGGGACTGAACAGCCCATGATGGAAACAGACCCTCTTCTTCAAACACAGGCTGCTGTCAAAGGCCCAAATGTGGTGTGGCCTTGATTACAAACATAAAAAGCCCTAGGCAGCTATGGGACTGGCGATTCTCCTTCCTTCGAGCCCCCCTGAGAATTCTTCCCCTTCTTTGTCTGGGAGGATTTCTTGTTTTTGTAGTTAACTGACAGAAAAATAATTAAAAGGACACAGCGGGAAACAGACTACTTTGTCCTGTCTGATGATGACCTGTGCTTGAAAGCCGATCTCTACTGCTGCTGCTGCTGCTGCAGTTAGCTTTCCCTGCACCTTAATTAACCATTTTCCTTGCATTTCCCTGTATATCACGTGCTAGAGAGCCCTGGCTGATGCTTGCTCTCAGAGCCGATGAGATCATCGTCAGGCACGCTACACTGGCATGTCATTTCTTTTTTCCACCTATAGTTACTGTTCATATATCTGGCCTCTTCCTTTTCACTGGCAGATAAATAATACACCAGCCTTTCAGATAAGCTGGCTTTGCAACTTAACTGTTAAGACCTCGAGGCACGTCAAAGCACTTCACAGTGAAAACCGTGTGTGGGCTGAAAACACTCACCTGCTGGAAGGGATTGGGGTAGCCAGCACTGCAAGCAAGGTAATAGTTCAGAGTATCTGTGGAAAGGGAAGACAAAAAGAAAAGGTAGACAACCAAGCCTTTATATCTGATTCTGGCTACATCTAATTATAATACCAGAGGATTGTGTTCTTAACGATTTGCGCAACAGCAAATCTGGGCACTTTCAAATGGGAAAAAGGTGGCAGAGGAAATAATGGATGCACCACAGAGATGTCCAGCATACCTGTTTTTTTTAAAAAAAACAGAAACAAGAAAGAAACCCTGAATGTTCTCAAGAACTACAACGCATGCATTTCTTTAGTCCTGCTCTCTCCCACATACCCTCTTCTCTACAGATGTCATCTGATGCCTCACTTTAGAAACACCCAAATCCATTTCAAAGCAACTCGCGGGTCAGACCCACCCCCTTAACACACATGGTCCGCCCATCCTGGCGATTACCTCAGTTCCCAACAGCCCACCACTGCTCATTAAGACAGACTTGACTGACAGAGGGGAGGACGGGTGGGAAGTGTGAATTCACAGAGGACCACTCGACAAACCAGAGTTACAGGTAAGTAACCTCCCTTTCTTCTTCATGTTCTCTGTGAATGCACACAGAGGCCAAGACCACACAACCAAAAGCCGCATCCGCCTTGGCCCTTACATCCAAACGATAATGGGATGCAATTGTCAATGGAGTGGACCAAGTAGCAGCCTTGCAAATATCTGCAATAGGTACACCTTGCAGGAAAGCTGTGGAAGTGGCTATTGCTCTGGTAAAGGAAATGCGTATTCCATGTTGCCATGAGACCATTGCCAAGGGAGCCTCAACCCAGGCCTGGTCTGGAGAAATACTGGATGCATTTGGTGTTGATCGCTGCACCATTTGGTGCACAGCTGGAAAAACTGGTGCACAGTTGGAAAAACACGGTGTCGTTGAAGAACCACTCGTGCATCTGAGAGTTCAGTCTGCTGAGAGAGTCTGCTAGCTGGTTGTGTTGTGTGGCAATGGGCACCGCCATGGGGAAGATATGGCACATTAGGCACCTCTCCCAAAATTGGACAGCAAGATGCAGAAGAGGCAGAGTGTGTCTACCTCCCTGTCACTGACACTGAGTAAACTATCCAAACAAACTGCACCAGAGCACAGGCAGAGTTCTGACTCCTGTCCTCTGAAGAGGCCGGCCACAGAGACTGGCGAAACGTTAGGAAGAAAAACCTTCAGAACATGGCCAAAGAGTCCGAAAAACCCACAACAACCGAAAAAGAGAGGCATGTGAAGTTGTACACCCAGGAGGTTAAAACTAGGGAAGTGCTGGATTGAAGCTCTGAGCATTTCACAACGCAAGCGCTGTGCTGGCCAGGGCTAGCAGGCCCTTTAATTGGTGGCACTTTGCCCACCTCTGCTTTAAACTGCCCGTTCCACGGTGTAAATCTGCTCAGAATCTCTTTTAATGACATTTCTGCCTTTCTTACTTAGCATTCTGATCCCTTACTTCTCCAGTACCCCTTTGAGACAAAACATTCACTGACAATAGCCCTATACAAAAAAGGCCCTAAAAGTGTATTATGGAAGGCTTCTTTTTGTCTGCACACAAGACACACTCCAGGGGCAAGTAGCTGTTCTAATTTACTGTGGCTGCACTTGGGCAGAGAAAGCCACATTAAGGAGAGGAAGCCAGTGAGCAGAGCTGGGCAGATTTTCCTTCTTGTTTCCCTGCACTCACCATTAATACTGCATATACCCCTTTCACGTGCCAGCGTGCACACTGAAAGCAGAGTTGTACGACAGAGACCGCTTACTCCTGCACGGTAGCAACTGAACCCGACAGCTGTTATTTATAATTCATTAGACCACTTCTGGGCTGCTTCCAGACTGCTGTTCCATCTCTTCCTATCACATCTCTCTAGCTAGGAAGACTTCTACAGTACTATTAAATGGTAATCATTAAAAAATAAAAATAAAAAGCAAGCAGCAGGATTCTATGTGTACTACCAAAAGGCTACGTCATAAGTAGACATCTGCCTATCTGATTATATATTTCATCTAGAAGAAAAATAAAGTTCTATGTTGAGAAACAGGTTTCTCTTAAGCAAGGGCAGGCAGTAACTAAGTATTTCATCGAACTACCCATGCAATATCTATTTGCATGGGGACACACACATGAACGCTTACACCAGAACCATGGGAACCAACAGAGACTACCTGTGAATTCAGATTCTATTAATTTCAATTGTGAGCACTGTTTGGTTTGATATTTATGGATCAACATAAGGATTCCAACAGTATCCTTTTTTAAAAAAAAAAAAGGAGTGTGGCGAAACTCAGTTGAAACAGATACTGTACATTATTGACATATAATGTTCCTTTGACTCTGATCTGATGTGTGAAGAGTGTAATTTATTCTCTTGGAAAGGCTGTGGTTCAATTAAATTCTATCTGGCGTATGTCCTACAAGACATAATCCTTTGGATCGGGTTTGACACGTGTCTTTATTTTCTACACAACCCAAGTGAGAAACACACGAAATTGTGGGTGGTTTTTTTTTAATGCATCCCTTCAGATTCTCTTCTGCCTGCTCGCAAAGCTCCTCCATTTAACCTACTATTAGCAGTCAAGAAAAGTGTTTAGAGGTAACCATGGAGAAAATAATTTCCTCTGTTACCTTAACGACTGTCAAAGCTACTTGATGAAAGAGGATGGTGGAAGCTTATAAGGTATAGATCCTTTCGATTACAAATCGTCACATTTGCTTTTTGGACTCTTCTGAATAATTGTAAAGTACAGCCTACAGGTAGATCCTGTCTTTGAAAGAGAAAGTTGAACTCTACTGCTCTCCAACGTCAAATTCTTGGAAAACTATACAAGGTTCTTCTTAAATTGTGTGATGCACACTCAGAAGAAATGGCTATTTCATACATTCTGGCCATCATTATGTATCCAAGTCAACCAACAGTCTAACACCAAGTTATATTTAGCATACAGAAATTTGTGTCTTCCAATTGGCTTAAGTAAATATAAAGTATTGTTCAGCGGTGTCCTTTAAGAATAATGAGCTTATGGTCATGGAAATGCAACTTCAGGCAAGAAACCCTAGGACTGGCTTTAGGGCACAAACGAAATGATCTTCCAAAATGGGACAAGCTGGACTGACAGGCTCAATGTGTCCCTGGAATAAACCAACACAGACAACGAGCTTGTAACAACAGAGAATGCTCCAGAGAAGGAAACAGACCCAACCTAAACTATGACTACAGCAATAGCTTCACGGCACTATGCGCAGTAAAAGCATCTCAGTGGTAATCATTTGAGAAGTACTCTGTCTTTGAAGCACTGAACGTCCTACATGCTTCTGTTACAGGCACCTGCAAGGCTTGCCCGGAGAGAAGACTCTCTGTTGGATCCTTGGATATAAAATCAAAAGGGCAGGAAGTAGGTCAGAGGAAGGGCATCACAGAATCCATGCCATGAAACCATGTACTGGTCCTGAACTTGCTGCCCCTTGTCAACCAGATATGCAGAGACAAATAAATGCTGGATACACATCCATCTCTCTTTAAAATAAACATGCTAACTAAGCACTAGATGTCAATGCATGCGGCAAGACCTCAACAACTTGCTTCTTTGCTGCAAAGCAAACCTGGGAAAGTCACAATTTGAAGCACAGACGCAACAGAGGAAAGGGGCAGATCATCTTTCTCACTCGCCACCTTCAGATCTCGTGTCCCAATGCCCACTGCTCCTCTCTCCCTAGCAGGTTTCCCAGTGTTTGGGGACAGAGGGGCATGGAGTGAAGGGTGGGGAAAGAAGAAAGCTCCCATTTCCCTAATCCAAATCAATGCCTCACTTTATGCCTTCCTCTTGGGGGTAAAAAAAACAACACTGTAATGTTCCATCAGGTCCTGAGTGAGTTGTGATAACACATGGTATGTGTTAAAAAAAGATGATGACAAACTCGCAACTGAAGCACAAAACCCTCATTCTCTGTCATGACGCCCACCTTTCACCAATCATAGATCTGTCAGGAAAGAGGCATTTCTCAAGCCAGATGTGGCATAATTCCAGCCAGTTTGATCCACGCCCACCGAAGTCTGAATGGTGCTCTCTCTTCATTCAACGTCACTAGATCATTTGGTAATAAAACACAATCAGCGCAAATAGCTTGGTGGGGCAAACGACTTCCTGCCCAGAGAACAAACATAAAGGCTGCACAGGAGTTTTATGAACAGTGAGAGAAGATGAGCCTATCAGCATTCGATTCCACCAGCTTTATCACACTTAATGAATTCTGGATGAGCTGGGTATAGTACACTCCAACCTCCACTCACACAAAAGTGTTTTTAATTTCCCTCCTCTGCTCCATTCCCGCTCTCCATCTTGGAAGGGATGGGGGGGGGGAGGGAGGGAAAGAGACAACACAGAAGATCATCTCTAAATGGATGAGCAGAGAGACCGATTAGACATTTAATCAGATTATCTCTTTGCCATTTTTCCCCTGCTACATCTGAAAAATGCCACTAAAGGTCCTGCATTTTAAAAATACAGTTTAATTCCTGGCATTCTCGGTTGTTGCCGCTTTCCATAGGCAGTGGGGAAACGCCACCCAATTTTGGTAATTAAATAGAAGAAAGTCTTGATGAATCAACTGCGAGTATCATGGTCAGACGGAAGGTCATATGAGACTGTCTGGAACACTTATTAAGGCTGCCAATTTACACCCCTGATTAGGAAATGCTGCTCAAGTTTGTTTTCTTTTGCTTCCTCCTCAAAGACAAGGTCACTTAAGTACAGTACTCGAAAAGCCCTCTACCAAAAGCATCTCCACTCCCCAACACCTCCCAGACGTCACTAATCAAAGAAAAGACAGTTATTAATTTCTGGTGCTTCAAAAAATTATTTTTAGGGGCTAAAATTCCCAGACTCTGCTCAGTCAGCATGAAAATGGCAAATGCTAGCTGAGGGCATTCTGGGACATGTAGTCCAAAAAGGTAAACATTTCCAAGATGCACTAATTCTTAATTTGAACCATAGTTCGTCTTGGGCATTTGGGGCCTCGAAGCAGAATACGAAAAGGCTACCCTTCTTTTCCTCTTTTGATCGCAAGAGTTCTTCCAAAAGGTTCCTTCTCTTTAGCTATGGGTCTGTTTATGGGTCTGAGACTGCCTCTCGTTTATCCTCAGCCAACTCTGAAGGCCTTTTTGCCCTAAAAAAAACATCCGGACAAGTATGTTGATTGATTTTTCCCCTTGCATCATGCTAGTATCCCATGGCTACAAAACTTCAGCTTTCTGGCCAGCTTCTTTTAAAATACAGAAGTTACTAAATCCAGCAAATCTGCTTTTGCAGGCCTGGCAAATCCTAATAATGTTGCTTAAAAAATTAAGAACCTAAACATATTCTTGACAAAACTGTTTCTACTCTCCAGGGTACTATTAAGATTCCTCTATACCAGTGCTACAGCTGCCACCGCTTCATACAAAGAGCAGTTCAACCGTCTATTCTTCCCTCCTCCCCACCTGGACTGCTACTGAAACCCAGTTCTGTCAAACATACTGTTACCTAGAGCAACCTAAATTAAAGACATAATTCACCTGCTAGACTAAATTTTGCAAGCCAAAATCGAAGAGAGTACATAACTTGGGTAAGGTGTTCAATTATCCCTTTGTTACATGTGTCAGGAACCACCGATATTAATCCTAATCAATTAGCGTACAGAGGCTTGGTTTCAATGCAGCTGAATGTTAGGTTTACATAAAAATCTCAAGGCAGGAAACCCTGGGTTTTAGCACCTGACGAAATGTGCTTATGAACATCCATGTAGCTCATTCATGTTAAGTCAACAATCTCCGCGTTCGCTTACTTCTCCTGAACTCTTAAGAGTACAGAAAGGGAGAAAGATCAGTTGATGCATTATCCATTTGAACGAGTCAGAATTTCAAATGTAAACCCAATTTTAAAAATTAGTGGTCCTTCCTGGAAACAAGTGTCTAGAGATACTGTACTGTACATTTCATTGATTCTGGCATCAGACTTGTTTGCTTTTACTTTATGAGGCTTGCTGGTGCAGGAAAGAGCGTTTTAAAGTTTCTGTTTTGTAGGTAGCAAAATACAACTTATTTTCATGGATGCTGAGAATATCCTGGAAATGTTTGCTGATGGTTCACAAGAGAGCTTCGCTATGCTCTAACAAGTCACAGGAAGGTCTTCTGTTCCTCTTCTGCAATGCACTCTTCAGGGAGGGACTGAAAATCAGCATGGAAAATATCCTTTCCCCAACCCTTTTAAAACTCTGCTGCCCTAAAGTTCATTATCCAAAATGCGTTCAATACATCTTGAAAGTAGAATTACATAATGTAATGGAGGCTTTCTTGTTGGAGAACTTGGCCTCATTTCAGTTCACCAGTTCTGACTCCTGTTATGCCTTTTCAGACACTCTCTTCTCTCCTGTCCTTCTCCACCTCCTACTAGGTCATAAATATGAGTAACTATAGAAAGCAAGCAACAGCACGGGGTCAGAATTTTCCTCTCTTCTCATCCAGAAAAGCGGCTACTTCCTGCTGCAATTCAACGCCAGCAGTGTTCGCACCAGAGGGAGCTGCATTTCCGCTGTTTCCTTTCCCTCCATCACAAGCGGGACAGGATGTGAATGTAAGGACTTCGAAATCTGTCCTGTTCTTGCTTCTTTCCACTCTCTTTCCCTCTGCCTTTGGTATACCTGAGGGAAGGGGTACTGATCTGAAATGTTTCTCTAACATTTAATGCCTGTTTGTTTTTTGTTTTTAAAAGACAGCTCAGTGAAGACAATCATCTTAACAGAAAGGTCTTCAAGGTGTATACTGACACATCCATACTTGCAACAAAAAGCATGCTGCTTATATACCGCCCCACGTGCTTAAAGCACTTCCTGGTCCGTTTACAAGTTCATTATGCAGTCTACAAATTGCCCGCCCCCAGCAAGCTGGTACTCGATTTACTGACCTCAGTAGGATGGAACCTCAAGCATGGCTACCTGGGAGTGAAACTGGGTTATGAGCAGAGTTTGGGCTGCAGTACTGCAGTTTAACCACTGCGCCATGAGACACAATTGTTGTTTGTTTTTCGAGAAACCCCCTTTCTGTTTCTTGGGAAACTGCCTATCCTATACCTCTTCAATCTAATCTTCCATGTCTTGCTTTTGTACAGAAACATGGCCCAGCCACTTCTAACTATTGCCTAGAACCACTTACTAGAGCTGCCCCCAACAGCGCTTACCGGTCGTGAGCACGGCATTGTTCTCCACCACCCTGGAGATGAAGGCGTCAGGGTTAACACAGAAGTCACTAGAACCCTAGAGAAGAGAAACAGGCAACAAAGGAGTAAGGGACCCAAGGGAATAAATAAGAACTGCATATTCCACTCCCCCCCCCTTTTACAGTGCCTACATATATTATCTTTCACTAACATTTATGCAAAAAGCAAAGTGTACTGCTTATATACCACCCCACAAAGGAACCCGGGGCATCTTACAAAAACACAATAGCTCCTAATACTAAAAAGGAATTAAACATATTGCATATCAATCTGATCCTCATCCACAAAATCCAAACAGGGCAATATGAATGACACGATTTAATTTATTTCACAAATTGTAGAGTTTCTGAAATAGAGTTGCCAGGTCCACGTGTCCCTCACATTTGTATCTGCATAAACCTTTATGGTGCTGACAACACAGGTTAAGTATGCAAAATGTCATTTCAGACCTACTTACCACAGCGACAGCAAGCTCCAGGCCCAAGGACCCCCAGCTTACAATAAGGGCTAGTACTCCTAGAAGACACACACTGTGGAAGGAAAAGGTAGAGACACCGACTCAGCAGGCAGATGGGCTCCAGTTCTAAGACCTTAATCTTTGATGAAGATTATAATTCAGAGTTCAAAGCAATAAGGGAGAGGAAAAGGTAGTAATCAACTTATGTTTCTGCAACTGACATTTTGAAGATACAGCTGCTTCACCTTACTCAGCTCTGCACTATGTAGAGAATTATTTGCGGGAAACGTATTAATGAAAGGGATGCTTTGCAGAGACTGAGATCTAAGCCTGCAGTTTATTTTCAACTACTCTTTCATATTTTGAGCCAATGAAGTTCATTTCCTTTTCCCTTTTCTACACATGCATGTGGAATCTACAAGGCTAAACACAATTGACAGAATATGTGATGACTCAAAAAGGCAGGTCATTTTAGAGTCCCCCTTTCTACATCACCCATACGGACTGGAGAATAATCTTCAAAGGTCATTTCAGTGCAGAATTTTAGTCAGTTCCCTTACACCTTTACAGACCACCTGGTTTAGAACTGCTGTGCCCTATGAATACTTATTTTGAAGGCAATCTCATTAACTTCAACAGGACTTACACCTAAGTCATGGAGCCAAAAGTCTCTACTCTTGAACAAAAGTCTGCATTTCTACCAGGGGGGTTATGCAGGTTCCATAGAAGGAACCAACCACACGGGAGAATTCTGCAAATCCTTAAGCATCAACCTCTAGTTGCACCTTGTGATTTTTCTTATTTTAAAAAAAAAGGAAAAAAGATTTGAACTCTTCAAAACAAAGACCTTGAGCTAACTATTTGCATTGTGTGAGTGTATTCTGTGTAAATATACATTCACCAGCAACAGAAGCCACACTGTCCTTCCACATACAGACTGCAAGAACACTTTCAGCAACAGCAACGGCAGGAACACACCTCCCTCCTCATTCAGAGGCTAGGCTATCGAACACGGTCTGAATTTCCCACTCTGGGGCTCCAACTGGCCCTGTTTCAGCTGGTCAGCATCAGAAGGGTTCAGCCTACTGCCCTTCACTTCAAGAAGCCCTTTAATATAAAAATGGCACAACCTCCGGCCTCCATGGACCGCAACATGAGTGGTTCTTTTTCAGAAAAGGTTGCTGGACAGACAAAAGACTAACCACAAAGAGTAAAAGGTGTTGGAGGCAATACTTGGTGGGTGAGAAGCAAACTAAAAAAAAAAACAGGGCGAGCTAGAAGTGAGGAAGGCTACACGCATGACCTGTCAGAGCTCCTGTGCAGAAATTTAGCATTGTTTTGGATTTTGCCTAAACACCCAGCAATGCCGAGGTCCTCTTCATGCCGATCACACACTTGGGGGGGGGGGAGACAGGGATTTTGTATGCCAGAGGGGGAGATTTGAGGGGCCACATCTGACCCAAAAGCCAAATGTTCCCCAAGTCTGTGGTAGATGTTCACCTGGGATTAGGCATACAGGAGTCATTGAATAAATCCTACCCAACAGTGACTGAAATCCTGTTCATAGAGCAACTTTCCATGTGTTCCTAGCTGGTAAACTGCTGCAATAATTCTTACATGCCCATGGGCACACTGGCTTGGCATACACATGTGCACACCCCTCAAGAATCGCAGTGGAAAAACTGACAGAAAAATTATGCTTTGGCTCATGATATGAACAGGATTTCAGGCAGCGTATGGAAAGCCAGATACTAAAACTCAGCCTGTCGTTAACAGCCTTCAACCATTGTTTCTACACTGACTTACCTCACAAGAATGGCCTTTGAGTTTCTAATTAGTCCAAATAGCACCAACAAACAGATGAGAACATGGAACAAGAGCAGGCCGAGGTATCCCAGCCATCTGTGGAAAATTGGGGGGGGGGGAGAGAGAAGAGAACCATGTTCAAAGAATAAAGTTACACCATACCCACAATTTTTTTAAAAAATAAATAAATCTATGTATAGAAAAAGACCAGTAGGGCTTAAAGAAAAAAAGATGGTCTTCAGTTCCCATTCCGAGACCCATATAAAGAACACTGGAATTTTAAGAAGTAAAATTGTATTATTATACTGCATGTTTTCCCCCTGACTGCCGCACACCGTCGTGTCATTATTAGCACAATTCAGATTTTAAGCTATCTGAGAAGAATCCTTGCACAGTCCTACTACACTAGTAGACTGCACAACAAGAGTTTAATTAAATTAAAATAAAGATTAACATCTCCTGGTGACGATGCCATCAACGTTTATGAGGCAGAGCTGTGCCAACTGGATTTTTAGCCATTATGATGCATCGTCAACTCATCCAAGCTCCAGAACGCCGAGCATCACTGCCTTCGCGAGACAAAGAAGGGACGACATGTTTCTCACCTGTACCAGTCATAGAGGTCAATGTGAACTGCCAGGTCTTCCAGGGAGACCTCGTCGTTCTTCCAGAAAGGGATTTCTGTTGTCTGCCTCACCAGTTCGTCCAAGAGTCCCTGGAGTTTTTGCACAATGTGCAGGTAATCCGTCTGCTTGGCGAACATTATCTCAAGATCCCCCAAGTTAGCCTCTGCTGTTTTGTTCAGGGCGGTGGCAGTCTCATACACCTGCGGATAAAGACAGAGAGGTTCAGTGGCAAAAGCCTTCAAAAGTGCAAGAAGAAGAGGCAAGGGCCAGCCGCATGATGCTGATCAGCTTTGAGAGAGATGCTCCAAGGCATTTCTTACTTAAAACAAAACAAACATTAGCAGTCTAGGTAGTGGCAACACTACAGATGTGTCTCTCTTGCAAGCACTTGGTAAAGTTCTGGTAGGACCCAGAAATACGCCTTGTTTGTAACTTTTTATTTTGGCAGTGAAGATACTATTCAAACCAGAACTTTGTTTCTTCAGATTGATCACAGTTGCTTTTATTTATTTATTTATTTTTTGCACTAAAAATACTCTAAAAACTTACTACATCTGATAGAAAAAGATTTACGTCAGGCTGGGCAAGTAGAGCTACTTTCCTTCCTACAGTTTTTCCTGAGATCCTGCCACTTTCTGCTGTGTGGCAAGGTGTCGTTTATTACTACAGGCACATGTAAGCACTGCCAAATTCAGCCTGCTTCTCCTACAAGGATGAAGCCCTGCTGAGAAGAGACACAGACTCTTAAACTTTTCCTAGTTTCCCCACAACTTAGAAAGTTCCTTTTCCAAATCTGGTGTGTGTGTGGGGAGGGGATGTACTGACTAGTGCAGTGTTAGACTGCTTCCAAAATGGCACCTGTAGGTCAGCTCTGAAGACACACTGAGAACTTTAACTGCAGTCAAACTTCTGAAATAACTGATACAGAAATTGAGTTTGGCCGCTGTTTATGCACTGGGCTCAAATTTCTCTCCACTACATCATACCATAAAATATGGTAACACATTAAAGGCAAATCAGGCCATCATACTTGCCTAGTTTCACATTTCTGTGGTCCAGTGACTTGAAAAAGTGGCTCCAACGGGCATGCCCTTGGAGCGAAGAATCCAAGGTGCTAGGCGTGCCATTCATAAAATCTTCACAGAAATGGTATTCTGTCTCACCCCCCTTTAAATTTGCAATCATCCTTGCAATAAACTGGACTTATCCATGCCATGCCTTGCCAGAAACTGAAGCATGTGCTTCATGATCTAAGTCACTTCTGGTTGAAAAAATCAGAAGGCTTCCACCTGAACTGATGCTGCTGGACAAACTACTTCTTTTTCTTTTTAAACTGGCTTAGCTTGATCATCGGTATGCCTGCAAGTAAGGAAGTCACTTATATCCTCATTATCAAATGGCACCGCAGTAAATGAATTGTGTGGTTTTGTTTCTTTCGTTTTTCCGTTTCCAGCACAGTCACAGCTCACATGGGCAGTGAAAATATCAACATGCAGCAGCTTGAACCAAGCACCGTTGTCTAACAGAATGGTTGCTTTATTTAACAGGTTTGACTTGCTTGGTTATTTTTAGAGAGGGAGAGAAAGGGAATAGAAATCCACCTCCTTTGCTAATGGAAGCTGTCAAGGACTTGTTGAGAGGCGGAGAAGAACAGAGAGGCAAATACTCAGGTGGAGAAGACCCAGAGGGTTTATTGACTCACCAACAGTCTTGCCTGGGGAGGGGGAGGGCAGCTTTCTTCCACTTACCCTGTCTTGCACCCCAGCAACGGTGCGATTGGCATGTCGGAGGGAGTATGTCAGCCGATGAATGCCGTCACTGGTCTCTCCATTTCCATAAAAGCCAACGGCTATCCCAGCACTGTGGAGGGACAAAACATGAGCGAGCAGCACATTACAATCTACGTGGACAGCTGCTGATTTGAAAAGTAAGCTTCCTCCTTCTCATCTGACATTCTCCAGAGGAAGAGAACAGCATGCTTTAGGTTGTAAGCAAGACGGCAGCCGGGTCATAAACATTCTTAGATACTGCAGAAATTAGAGATCTGTTTAGCTATGGAGGAGGAATACAAAGGCACTAATGTTTTCCCTTCCATTTTCTAAGGTGTGGGTCCTGTGGCTAGTACTGTATAGCCGACACTGTAAAATACAAAGTTGATGGCTCACCCACATAAGCAATGCTTTCGGTATTTCGCCCTTCAATGTACAGTAGAATCTTGACTTACGGTCGGCTCCACTTACGAACTTTTTGAGATCCGTACTTCTCCGGCCGCAAATTTTTACTTCAACTTGCGGCTGGAGAATCGACATATGGACCAGAATAGGGAGGCGGGGAAAGCGCCAAATTCAAATGTGGTGCTTTCCCCACCTCCCCCTTCCAGTCCATCGGCCGCGGATCTGCCTCCGGATGCCTTCCAGGGCTTCTCTGCCACCATGGGAGGCATCTCGGCGGTCCCCCCCACCGCCGATAGTGCTTCGGAGGCACTATTGGCAGTGGGTGGGACCTCCGAGATGCCTCCCATGGCAGCGGAGAAGCCCTGGAAGGCATCCGGAGGTCCCCCCAGCCGCCGCTGCTGCTGCTGGGAGCCTTCGGAGGTCTCAAAGGGCTTTCCCCCCGACATCGGAGGAAGCCGTTTGAGACCTCCGAAGGCAAAAAGGCAGGGAGAAAGGGCTGGAAATTCAAATTTATTTTAATTTTGTGTACGCATGGGGGGGTGTTTCTTGGGCGGGTTGCGGATTAATTAGTTTTCAATGCATTCCTATTTTCGACCTGCGGACTTTTCGACCTACGGACCCCGTTCCAATACGGATTAATTCCGTAGTTCGAGACCCCACTGTACAATTAATCATTCTATCTGTTGCAAAACCCAACAGACTGTAAAGGATTCTGAGATATATTCAAGTGTGGGCAAAGTTCCTCTAAAGAGTGGATATGTGTGTTAAGACTTCCCTGTTACTGTGCCCCACATGTTAGTTGCAGTAAATTCCTTTCCAGGTTCACATTTCCGTGAACGATGGGGGGGGGACTTAATCTCCCAGGAAAACTGTCCCCTGTCAGTGATCTCCCAGAGGAATTTCCAATAGAGTTTTCCTGCTTCAATCTCTAGAGAATTGGCAATTCTGCAGTTTGTGGGCCAATGGCAGGCCTTATGGTGAGGCACCTTCCCACATGCTCCAAGGTGAAGGTATGAACTTGTTACCACCTTGAACATACCCGAACTCATCTGATCTCGTATGATCTTAGAAGCTAAGAAGAATCAGGCCTAGCTACTCTTGTGATGGAAGCTCACCAAGAGACATCCGGTTCTCCAGGCAGGGCTATAAAAGAATGCTACCTGAAACCACCTAACATCCTTTTTAAGGAGAAAGGTGGGGTTAAAATATTTTGAACAAATAAATAAAGAAACCCTGGAGAACTGTTACTAGCTAGAGTTCACTATAGTCTCGATGGACCAGTAACTTTCCTCAGTATCAGGCAGCTTCTCATATTCCTACAACTCTGCTATTTCTATTGCTTTACTGGCGGCAAAGGAAAGATAGAACAGGTTAACTCTGGCAGCGGTAATATTTGCACTCCTCAGCCTGTCCGCCACCACAAGAAACACAGCCAGAGATGGCATGGTGCATGTAGAGCAGCTATAGGAACCTACGGCTTCCCAGTTTTCAGGGCTGCAGTGAAATACAGAAGGCATGGCTCTCAAACATTCTTGACCAATAGCATTCTCCACAGATGGCCTTAAAAAAGCTTTGCAAGCACGCAAAAGGATACCACTGTCGTGACATTTATCAGGAAAGAGCCCCTGTTCATTCATTCCCTCGATCCTACTCAGAATCATGCTTTCCTTCTGCACAATGAAAACGCTTCAGAGGGAAGCACTGATTACAGAAAGGAGAACCCCACAGGCCCTCCCCTTATTATGCATTCAAGACTGAACGGTCTGCTGTGACACCACCAAGCAGCGGAAGATATGGCAGCCTCAAGCTCTCCCATACCTTCAAGCTGCAGCAAGCACCCTGGGGACCGCAGGTCATGTTTCTGCATAATCAACCTATTATTAAATCTTAAGAGTGAGAAATCAGCAGAGTACAAGGCACAGGGGCACGAAACCTATAGAAATAAGCTGGATGTGCCCAGGAGATCAACGTGACGGCCTGCATTATTCAAGCATTTTCCTCCTCCAAAAAACATGTGCACGCAAAACCCCGATTCATTTGGTGCAGGAAAGGCTATTCTTAGAACAGCAGCCGTTTCCAGTCAAAGACTCTCAGGAAGAGGAAGCAGCCGAGAGGACGCAGCTGCAGACATTTCATGCTTTAGGATGAGGCAAAACCAGAACTCAAATCTATGCTTCCCTACATTTTTAGGGTTAGGGTTAGGGTACTGCAATTACACAACAGAGCGTACTGCAATTACACAACAGAAACGTACTGTAATTACACAACAGTGCTTTTTTTTTTTAAATTTTATTTTAAAAATAAAGATAAAGGCCCTATTTTTAAAAAATATTGTCTTCTCAAAGGCTTTCACAGCCGGGATCCGACAGTTGTTGTAGGTGTTTCGGGCTGTTTGACCGTGTTCTGGAGGTTTTTCTTCCTCCAGAACATGGGCAAACAATCAGTATATATATTGATTTACTGAGATAGATACACAAACACACACAGACTCACACACACACACACACACGTTTTTAGAGTTTTTTAAAAACTGCATTTCATGTATTAAATATTTTGTGTGTGCGTCTGTCAAGCTGGGACATTTTTCAAAAACTAATTAATCGCACTGAATGGTCTTGGAGGAGAAAAAGGTGTCCATCCACTCACCTATAGAGTGAGAAGACAATGCCAGTAATAAAAACAGCCGTGTTGAAATCTCTCAGCTACTTATTGTATTCTCAGTGGAAACTGGAGGCCTCCTGTTTGTAACTGGACAGAGCTAAAAAACCTGTCACCTAGGGTGACATAAGACTATAGGCAGAAATAGAAACAGATGGCCTAATAAGATCTCCATTTCCTCAATGTACCTTTCTCTCATGAATAACGGTCCTGGATCTCCTGATGAGATAAGCTTTCATCTTTGTGTCAGGCAAAAAGAGGATAATCCCCTCTGATTGTAACTTATCCATTTTTAAAAGCCCTTAACCCACACAGTTTTTCTGTATAGATCAGACAGGGGTCAGCTGGAGGTGAAATAACAGGCCACACAGAAAAAAAAGCTGCTACGCCAGTGAAAAACCTAAAGAAGAAAAGCATTGAATCATTTAAAAGATATAGGTTGGGGCTTGAAGGCAATATTGGTTATTGTATCAGAACTGCATTCAATATAATAGTGACTCAAGCCAATACTTCAACACCATAGTAAAGTTATTTTTTTAAAATTAGATCATGCTTAGTTTGCTACTTACAGGTGACTACCAAGCCCATGCCCACACTTAACTACCAGCAAAGCTAACATTGAAAGCAACATTTACATTTGAAGTGTTTAAAGAGATTATTGCATTTCTTCCTTCCTTTTTCTTGAAGGCGAGTGGGACTGGGGTCCTCTCCAGTCTTCCCCATCTGCCACTCACTCATTCAGGCAGGTTTTCAAGTAGCAAAGCATGATTCAATGAAAGCTGGGATTTCCAGAAGGCTAACAGTGGCCAAAAGGGACGTGGTGGGGCTGTGGGCTAAACCGCAGAAGCCTCTGTGCTGCAGGGTCAGAAGACCGAGCAGTCGTAAGATCGAATCCACGCGACGGAGTAAGCTCCCGTCACTTGTCCCAGCTCCCGCCAACCTAGCGGTTCGCAAGCATGCAAATACAAGTAGATAAATAGGGAGCCCCTCGGTGGGAAGGTAACAGTGTTCCGTGTCTAAGTCGCACTGGCCATGTGACCACGGAAGATTGTCTTCGGACAAAAACGCTGGCTCTATGGCTTGGAAACGGGGATGAGCACCGCCCCCTAGAGTCGAACACGACTGGACAAAAATTGTCAAGGGGAACCTTTACCTTTAACAGTGGCCAAAGTAAAAAAATTGCCCACTGTAATTCGAAACAGGAGCTTCGTCTCCAACAGAGGACACTGGAAGCAGATCTGTGGGAGGAAGGACAGGGAGCACCCTGTGTGGAGAGTCAAAAGAAACTGTTTTCTCCTTGAAGCACTTAATTGAAGTGACAAGTCAAGGACTGAGGCTGTAATTAATTGATAAACAGTTACATCAGTTACTGGCCCTTCTTTACTGTTCCTGATTCAAGGCAAAAAACATCCCCATCTCATCTTTATATGTTAATACACTAGTGACAGAAAGTTATATTTAATTAAACAGAGTTTTGCTAGCTGAGGGCCTTCACACACACACACACACCTATATACCTGAGTTAATTTCCCCATCTAATTACCACCTTTGTTCTTCAACACCAGGGGAAACTGCTATTTCTGGGAGAGCTGTGAATGTCATCATTCAACATCTGTTTACATATTATGTTTGCCAGGGTGTCCAAGACATTTTTGTGTATGTACATGTCCAATCTGTACCTCTTCTCAGACCCAAGGCACTTGATTCCCTTCCTCTGGCTTTTCCAGTATTCTCTTAAGTGTCAATTCTTCCTGTGTTTCCTGAAGAGCAGATATCTACAGAGAATCATACAACACACTAAACATGGCCGATGCTTTGGGGAAGGGGGACCTTTTCTGAAGCCAACACACAACAAGCACAACCATGCCATGAAGAAACATGACAATAAAATAAAATCCACAACTGAGCAACATCTTGATCAGGACTAATTAAAACTCTATGAACGTATTTTTTTTATTTATTTATTTAACTTATATGCCGCCCACACTACCCAAAGGTCTCTGGGCAGCTTACAACATTCAAAATACAATAAAAAAAGTCCTAACAATTAAAATGTATGAAACTTCTGATGTTCTCTAGAATTCTTCATTCGCTAAGGTGGTACAAAAAAGTAGGTCAAGGGAAGGAAAAAGTGGAGTTCCCAAGATAGCCACGAGGTCTGCGGTCACAGCAGTTCTCAAGCTGAATTTAAAAGGCATGACAACTGGACATGCACAGCAGCTGTAACGCAGCACAGATATAGCCCATTAAAAGTGAACAGAGTCATCTAAGGTTTCTATGGCTGCATTCCTCTAAGCTCCATTTGTGGAAACCTGATTTAGAATCCCCAGCACAGGATTTAGAATCCCCAGCACAGAAAAGGCTCCCTTGGAACTCCCTGGAATTCCTAAAGCAATCTGTCACAAAAACAAAACAAGCTGCAAAGTTCTCTCTAACACAGGACAATGCAAAGTTGGCTAGTTCAACATCAAATGAAGCACTTCCCTGCACTGTTCGGCTACTCAGTCATGCTTATGTACAGTGGTGCCTCGCTAGACGATGATAATCCGTTCCACTGAAATAACTGTCTAGCGAAAAGCAAATAGTCATCTAGCGAAAATCGGTTTGTGAAGCAGGGACCAAACATTGTCCAGCGAAATTCCCCCAGAGGAATCGCTGTTTTGCGAATCGCTATAGCGATCGAAAAAATTAATTGTCTAGCGAAAAAACTGTCATGCGGGGTAACTGTCTAGTGAGGCACCACTGTATTATCTCCTCTTTCTGCCACAGCTAATGTAGAATTAGGATATGCCTTCTCCACATGATTTTGTGGCCTACGATGCCCTTAGCTCTTGACACGAGAGAGAGAGAGAGAGAGAGAGAGAGAGATTCTTTCCTTGCTTTATGAGAACATCCTCAAATTCTCTCCAACCTAGGTCTGGAACATATTCAAATGATGTGTTCCAGGTGCACCAGCCTCTTTGCCTCCTGAGCTGTCATTTTCAAAGAAAGAACCATGTTAATCTGTAGAAGCATATCTAGACAGAAATAAAAACAAAAATGTTGGGGCACCTTAAGGACTGTCGTATTTTAGTGTGAACCTTCAAGCATTCACAACATTGATGAAATGCATTTATCCACAGAAGCTCACATTTAAGTGCAACAGTTAATCTTTAAAGTACCCACAAGTAGTTATAACTACTCCCACAACCTTTTTATTTTTATTTTGCCTGGATACATTTGCTTCCTGAGTTGCTTCTACAGAAGCCACTGCAGATGGAAACAGGTTTAAATACAAAACATGCCAACAAGAGACTTAATAGCAGCCAGAGGCTAGCTAGAGGAGTACATAATCAATTCTTGAAGAAGCAAGAATGAAGCAAAAGTTCGTTGTGTCTTTCAAGACTGAAACATTTTGCCCTCTTCTGACCTCCTTGCTTTCATCTCTCCCATCTTCTTGCTATACTGTCCCTTTACCCTGCAAATCTGCTGGCTACACAGCAATGGTTTCCTAAGAAAGCACCAACGAAAGAGCTAGAAATACTCCACTTAAAAAAAAGAGAACAGGAACGTGAATGTTTGTCATATCTTGAGGTGCCAAAATCAGAAATCTGTACAGGGACCACTAACTGAGATTCCTTCTTTGTTTAACATTTTAACAGATTCAACCCAGAATCCAGAGAGACATCACAATAGCTCTGTGGATGGGTAGAGGTCTCCCTGCTGGTGTGCCGCAAGATGACATCCGAAAGCAAATCTTCACTCAAGCTTCTGTGCCCAACAGCGCATCACAGTTGTCCATTTCTAAGCATGTTCCACCACTCCGGAAAAAGCCCTCCATGAAAGCTGACCTATCTGTGGGCAAATACACCAACTATCACTCATAGAGATGTTCCCTGGAATACCAATTTCGGTCCCATTAATCATCCACCACCAAGAGAAGCAAACCAAGGAGTTCTATCACTTGAATTCTTCCCCCCCCCTCACTTGCAGCTTCTGCCATTCAGGTCCAAGAATTTCTCCAAGTATTCCAGTATATTTTCTAAAGTGGTACGACACCAAGATTGCTGGCGGACTGAACATACCACAGCAAAACAGGACACTGAAAGTTTTCTATAGACTTTAGGAAACAACACTTAACAATATTTTTGAAAGACTGGGGAGGGGGGGAACAGCTAAGGTGTCAAGCCAGCTTGCCACTGCAAAAGTGCGGTGTTTCTAATACAGGACAGCATGACCTTGAGTACGAGATTATCTCCACATGCTATTCTCAAAGGAAATTGCTATGATAGCTGGGAGCCTCCTTCTGCAGTCTACAGTATGATCCTTGCAGGAAGATATGGAGAGCTCACAATTAGCAGCACACAGACCGTGACTAGAATCAAAATGAACCCCAGGTATCTTCTCATGAGGTGCCACCCTCTTCATACCTATCTCCAGGAACTGGCAAATTAGCTTTCAGAGCCATCTAGGAGGTTGATAAGGACACTTAGTTAATTTTACATCCTGCCTTTCCACCCGGGTAGGACCCATGGCGACTCTCAGCATAGATTAAAACAGATATAGATAAAAATGTAGTAAAGTATAAAATCAAAAGACATTTAATTAAATTACCCTGTAAAATGCAAAACACTGAACTGGGACAATTTAAAATCCATTTAAATTAAAATCTATTTAAAAGAAGAAAAAAGAAGAAAACATCCCTATTTAAGGCACACTAAAAGCATTTCACACCACAATTTAAACTACACCACAATTTAAACTACACAATTTAAACTCCCCTGAATACGGAAGCTCGTGTTCGGGAAGCTGCCACACCAGAAGTTCTCGACACCCCTAAGGTGGTCCCAACGTCAGTCTCAATGCATCTAGTACATGGAAGTATGTGGGATCTATCTATCTACATACAGTACATAGATCTCCACTGTGCAAGGGAGAATCCTGTTTAATTGTGATTGTGGAGGTGAGGAGGTGCAGCTACACTCCCCATACAAAAGGCACGAAGAACGCCCTTTGTTGCCCTAAACACAGATGGAACAAATTCATTCTAAAATACTTCCTCTTTGGGAACTGTCACATCTTCAAGACTGGCACAGTCTACTTTTAAGCTACTCTGGTAATAATTATGTTCTTTCATCTGTCGGCTTAAGATGGATTTCATGGCAGTGGACCATGATGATAAGGCCAGGGTGGAACACGACCACATGAGACTGCTTAAACATCTGTATCATGAAAGATGTGAACACTCCCAAGGTCAGCATGAAAACTGAAAGCCCCAAGCTTCCACTAAGGATGGGGTTGGATAATTGCAGATGTGACAAAATAACTTGACCGCTGGTGACAATGACCGGAGGGCCACAGGCCTGAGCATATATGAAGGGCCTGAGCAGCACAGTCTATGAGGAAGTAAAACCAGATATTACCAAGAGAGGATATTACTAAGAGGATACAGATAGCTCTGTATAGTGCTTAAAATCTAAATATAATGGTGATTACAGGACATGTTGCTGAATTTTCCTAACTATTGGACACTGCACTGCTGAGTTTACTGTATCAGTCTGCTGATGAGACCATTTTGTTTTATCACTTCATTTTTTTAAAAAATGCATTACCTCAGAAGTTCATGATAATACAGAAAGTAAATTGCATTTCTATTCTGGTTTTGCCGGAATCAATATAATAAGAAAGCTTAACAGAAAGACATCTACAAGGCCATAGGCAACGACAGGTGAAACCTTTACTAGACCACAAAAATTAAACAAATAGCTTAGCATTTGACTTAAACCATTCTTCATTAGGTTGTGCATCAACAGACTATGGGTAGTGCAGAGAAATAAGTGCAGAGTCCCAAAAGCCAAGCTTTCTTTAAGGAAAATTTTAAAAAATGCAGAACTGGCCCATACAATTGGCTCTAATTATGTTGTTAGAAGACAAAGCAACATTTTAAATGGTACTTCAATTGTTTTATCTTTTTATCATATTTAAATTGTTGTAAGCCACCCAGAGACCTCTGGGTAGCGTGGGCAGGATATAAGTTAAATAATTTTTTTTTAAAAAATAAATGTAAGCTTTTAAAGAAGCATTTGCTGTTTGAGAGACTTCAAGGAACTCCACTTATTCTGTGACTGAAGTCATGCCCGGAATTGACTAGAAAGGCAGATCTTCCTTCTATCGGAATGAAGGGGACTGGGCTTTCCCTTTTGCTGAAGGTGTCAAATTAAGATGTGATATGCTACTGTCATTTGCTCATTATCCTCTCCTGTGGCTGTAAGCCTTGCAAGCAAATCTTTTGTAGTGTCACCTTGTTGGTCAGTCTTTTATAACAGTAATCAATAAAAACAAGTTGCATCTTTTCTGTTTTATGGTGCATATTTCTCTTCCCAAGGACACCATGTGTGCAATCTTCGATGAACTATGCTGTACAGTGTTTAGAAACCAACTAGGCAAACAGCTACAATTTCAGCACTATAGCTAATGAATAAAAGGGGCTTCCATGTAAACAGCTACAATTATTACACCACAGCAGCAAATGGATAAAAAGCTAATGGTGGTTTCTTCAAACTACCTTAACTTTCCACAATTTCATCCTGGTCTCTAGTAATGTTTAGACACAAAGACCAAAGTCTGACACAAAAATGATATAAAAGGTAAATAGTAAGATTTTAATCAAATAAAATGCTGGGGTGGGAAAAAAAGGGAACTTGAGCTTGTGGGCAAGAAGTAGCAGACACAACATAAGAGATAAAAATGAGGAAGGAAGAAGTAAAACAAGCAAATCCAAGCTGTGTATACATATTCACCACAGATCCCACAGATTTAAAATGATGAGTCTGGATTACGAAAATGCCAGTGTCTATGTATACTTAGAAGGAAGTTTGCTAGGAAAGATAACACTGTTTAAAATGAAGCCGATAATGACAACTTTATTTCACCCTTATAAAATCAACTCACTCTTCAATTCATCTTCTGTGCACGAGGGAGGCAGGGGCAGGAAGGAAACAGGACTCACCTGCAGACCAGAGTTGCAATGATGACGCACCAGGCGGTACAACAACAATCTGCGTTCAGCTGTTCTTCGCTCTTCCGATGGCGACAACACAGCCAGAAGGAATAGAAGAGGAGAAAGAGAAGATCCAGAGCAAGGCAGGACAGAGCAACGCCACCCAACAACAGCAGGGCCTGAGGCAAAAGAGAGAGAAATTGTGTTATTTAATAAGTGACATATATACAAGAAAGCTTCTGATGCCTCAATGTTATCTTGCCCACGTATTGTTAAATCAAAGCCCTTATCTCCTCTGTACTGTATTGCTAGAGCTGTACCCAATGAAGAACAATTCATTCCCAGACAGGAACAAAAAGCAGCGAAATTCATCCTCATATCCTACCATGCACCAAAATTATTTTAGCTTTCTGACAAGGATTTGGCAGATATTTTTACACTGTAAGCCTGAGGGCAGGTGCTATCTTTCTCTCCATCTTTAAAAATATTTTGGTTGTATTGTTGTTCTATCATTAAAACAAAAAAGTACAAATATTATTATAGTCTTAGCAACTTAGTAACAGCTACTGCTTACAACATCCTAAGAGAAATCAACAAATAGAGACTTCCCCTTTTAAATCCAGAGCAAATCGCAAGAGGACAGTTGCTTTACTGTATTTTAAATCAGGACCCTTTCACTGTTAAGATTTTTCACCTTCTTCAGCAGACCAAGATCCTGCCCTAAATAACTGCCACTCGAACATGCAATTATAGTTTTATGCGAATTACTGAAGCGGATGGGACTTCATAACCATAATTGATCACGCACTTGAAAACCATCACTTTTTGCGACTAGGACACCCAGAATGCCCCATCCATGTAAGGTTTCCAAACTCTACACTGGTCAGAAGCTACCTTGAATGAGATGGGCTCCTGATTTTGTCCCAAACAATTATGCATGCAATGGATATCCCAGAAATATGCAAATTGCAATGGGATCCTGAATCCACATATCATCATCTGAATACTCGAGAAGCAGGTTTTCATAGGGAGCAGTACAAGCTCTCCTATGATGATGAGCAAAGGGCATGCATAGGATTTAAAATCCCTCCTTCCCACCAAAAAAAGGAACAAAACTGTTTACTTCATTTACGTATAATATTAGATGAAGAAGCATTATGAGAGCAAAAGTCTTGCTTCCTTGAAAGCAAACAATTGTGAAGCAAATGATTACCAAAAACTGTCTAAAAGGAGCAGCTGCCTTCAGCTTAGCTGGGAATGGCCAAGAAAACTAATACAGTATTTACTTTCAGCTGAGCCCTAAATCCACACCACTATCCAGTTTGCAAGGCTATGCAAACCACTGTTTGCTGGGCAAGGTGTAATGACAACATGTAGATGCTGTAATCTTGGTAGGAAGGGTGTTATGGTGCCCCAAGAAAAAAAGAAATGCACAAGCCTGGGGATTCTTAAAGGCTCATTCACATAATACTAAAGCCATGGTTTTGGCAATACAGTGGTGCCCCACATGACGATGATAATCTGTTCCCTAGAAATCACGGTTTAGCGAAATCATCGTCATGCGAACCTGTTCAATGCGTTCCAATGGGCAAAATACTTCATTGTCCTGCGAAGATCGCCCATGGGGAAGCCATTTTGCGAGCGCCAATCAGCTGTTAAAATGGCTATCCTGCGAAGCATGGGTCCCAAAAACAAAGGGAAGCAATTTTGCGGAGCCGTCGATCAGCTGTAAAAATCGTCTTGCAAACAGTTTGCAAAGTATGGACCAAATCATCGTCAAGCGAAAATCCCCCATTGGAATTACTGTTTTGTGAATCGCTATAGCGATTGCAAAACCTCATTGTTGTGCGGATTCATCATTTTACGAGGTCGTCTAGCGAGGTACCACTGTAAATCTGAACCACTTCATGAGGCACACAAATTCTACTTAGCTTATCCGTGGGGAGTGGGGGGAGAGAAAATACTTGAGCCAATTGCTTTTTGGACACCATTCTGGAGGTTACTGGCTGTAAAATGCCACCAGATTGCAAGCCTGCTTGAATGGAGCCAAAATGGTTTCTGCCAACACAGTAATATTTGTACCCTTCAGCCCACAGACAAAAGCTGCACCAGAAATGTGCAGCAAATGGGAGATTTTATTTTTAATCAGCAGCATCTCTTTTGCCTTCCTCTTGCAATCCTGGCCAAATTACAGAGCGGGTTTTTGAATTTTTTAAAAATAAAATAATTGTCCATCTGGCAAGCCACTGGTTTTCAACAATGTTTTATATGGAGCTGATGAAAAGAAATCATTCAGAAGTTTGGATAGTCTAGAGAGTCGCTGTTTGCCAGACCGCAAAATACAGGGTTAATTTAGTTGAGTCTGGAATATAGCATCTTCCTGTTTTGTCCATTCCCGTTGTCCCATTCAAGACTAGCAAAGATGTTGCATGTGATTGAAAAATTATTATTTGGGGTAGAAAAAAGCAAAGTTGGCCCAGAGTACTTATTATAAACCTGTACTACTTTTTCTACTAACTTCTCTCTTAACCATAACATTTTGCATGGCTCATTGAACAAAATTCTCTTATTCCTTTTCAATGAAAAATTGAACAAAAACCAAACACAGCTCCTTATCTATTAATAAAGGTACAACAGCTGGCTCATATGAACGACTCTTTCCATTATACCAGTGGTTCCCAACCTTGGGTAACCCAGGTGTTCTTGGACTGCAATTCTCAGAAGCCTTCACCATCATTTGTGCTGGCCAGGGTTTTGGGGAGTTGCAGTCCAACACTACCTTGTTACCCAAGGCAGGGAACCCCTGCATTATATGATGCCAAAAGGTGACAATCGTATATTCTTATTATTTTACTGGATTTCTCGAGAACAGGAGTGTAAAGGAAACAACCGAGAACTGACCTCAGAACTGGCAAATGGTTTTAAAGTTCTACAAACCATCCTGATCCTTCCAAGTCAGTGAATGGACATTTTATAACACAGAAGTGCCTTGTGAAAATGTTCAACCACAGATCTCAGTTAAATGAAAATCACTCTAGGATGCACAAAATATTAACAACTACGGGGTTTCCACCAATCCAGATTCAAGGGGGGCTGGCTAGCTGTAGCCAATTGGCAATCGTGCCCTTCCTAAACAAGATGGCCAGCTGTAGGGAGCTTCCAACTTTGTGCAACTGCACTGAGTCATGCAGAAAAGTAATGGCTGAAGCATGAACCTAACACACATGGGGAACACTGCTGAAGTGGTATGTCGTCTCGTAAGAGGACACAACTCCATGTTCTCAGGGCTGACCTGGGAAAGAGTCATGTTCAAATCACCATTCAGCCATGAACTTTGTTAGGTGACTGTAGGCCTAGTATCTCTGACTATTACTTCGCCTCATAAAGTGTTGGGAAAATAAAATGGGAGGTAGCATGAGCACTGCACTAAAATTGGGAGGAAGCATTTAAAAAACCCAATGATGATAATGATGCAAATATCAGCGATGACAGGAAGTATCTTCTTCAGAGTTCCCGGGACATTAGCAGCAACTTCCAACCAAGGATAATAAAACCTCTTCCATTCCCCATTGTCGTTTAGTCGTGTCCGACTCTTCATGAGCCCATGGACCAGAGCACGCCAGGCCCTCCTATCTTACACTGCCTCCCGGAGTTGGGTCAAATTCATTCATGTTGCTTGCTTCGATGACACTGTCCAACCATCTCATCCTCTGCTTCCATTCCCCACTGTGACCTTATCTTTGAAGCTACCCACCAACTGTAGAACATGTCCCTGAAAGAAAGAAAGATGTCCTCCATTTTATCTATATGGCACAGGATTTGCCAACCGGGCACCCTCGCTACCATTCCCAGCCAGAATGGCTATTTCTCATACTTTCTGGGGATGTGGAAAGTTGAAACATCTTGGCTAGCCAGTGAAGGGCATTGGGCTGGAGAATGCTGGCATAAAACTTGTTGTGCCAGAAAAAGAATATCTCTCTTATTCTCCAAATGCAGCGCAGTTGGTACTGATACATTACCACACAGTATGTCATTATTAAACACAGCTTAGCTTAATTTTGGCAGGCTGAAAAGATGGATTTCCACACAAATGCCTCTCGGAGCCCAACAAAATGGATCCTTTGGTTAACTTGCATTTCCTATTACCATATACAAGTTAGCTTAGACAGACTACTTACTACAAGTGAGATTACACTTACTAGGTCCTACCAGAATGGATAAAAATCATTTTAAAAAAATCAATTTCAACCACAATCTAAATTGTCAAAACATCTGATTTTTTAAAAATGTAAATCATGACTTAAATCAATTTTATTTAAATCAAATCCACCCTGTGAGTTACTAAATGACATTATATTACAAACTATATTGTTACCTTATTTGCATTCTTCTTTACATAGAGTAACCCTCTCCCCTCAAAAAAAAAAAAAAAAAAAAAAAAAAAAAAAAAAAGATTTACGGACCAGTTTCTCTGTTTTCCAGAAAGATATCTTCAAACACAGAAAACAGAAGACACTCTTTTTTTTGACATTATTTAATTGTGTGGAAACAACCTTAGGTTCGCATTTCCTGACTTACTTATGTAGATTTTAAAAGGATATTTAAAAATACATTAGGATCTTCTAATTTTAAATTAAGGTTCTTTACAGCACCAGAAAGCCTTTTATAGCTGCTGCCACCGCCACCCCATCAGATTAATAATTGGACAAGTTTTGCTAAAAAGCAACAGATAGAAATCCATTCTCTAAATAGGCACTTATTTGTGTTACTGTAAGTCCACATTGTACAACAATCACTGAAAATGTATTTTAATAATAAATTGACGGAGATATTTAAAGGAAGAGTGCTAAATGTGGGGAAAACCAGAGTTACACAAGAATAAACCTCATCTGGCATGATCAGAGTATTTCAACAGAAGTCTATTAATGGGGAAGTTCATTCTCCTGTTAATTGTGAGCACAGTTAAATTTCCGAAATGCAATTTCTGTTTGCCTCAGAAAATACAGTCATGATTAAGCAAGCAGTGACTGAAGGTTAAAATATTCTCATAGTAATTTACACCAAAAGTTGGCCCACTTTACTACTGGTTAATGCAACCCAATATTGCCTAGGTTACGTTAACTGGCAGTGGTTCTCTGTGGTTTCAGATAAGGAGCTTCCCAGCCTTACCTAGCCATGCCAGGGATCTAATTTACTCTCCATTTATCTGCAATATTCATATGTACCACCTCTCATCTTATCGCTTGCAGGCACTGTGTTCCAAGTAACAAGTATAACATAACCCACTTTCCTTGCACACCATCATCCCATATCAAAACAAGAACCCACTAAAAACTCAACCACAAATGAGAATGCAGGGGAATTTTTTTCCATTTATCTACACCTTTCCCAAGCTGGTGCCTTTGCAATGTGCTGAACTATAACTCATGCCATCTTTATACGAGCACTAGAACTCCCAACAGATTTGCGTGCGGGGAATCATTTTTTTTAAAAAAAAAACACTATTCCATATTTTAATTCTAAATCAGTTTCCCTTAGCAACACTGAAGTTAGAGTTTTCCAGATGGCAGACAATGATATTTCCAAGACTTTCCTGATGCAATACAGAAGCAAGAACAAACTTGAGTCAAGAGATGAGAAGCAGGGTGCAAAATTATGAACCAGATCCTTGCAGAAAATCCCCTCCTCCCACCTTAGCTCTGGTTCAATAATATACCGGCAGATATTAATATTGTCAAGGTTATCCATAGTCACTACTTAATCAAACTACTTAATCAGCTTTAAACTCTGGTTTCAGTAGATGATACGTATAAGGAAAT